CTGACTTTTCAGTACAAACTTCCTGAGTTTCACTGCTTGGGGATTTTATTTATGATGTAAGAGTGAGGACACCCTTCTGAGAGAAACCCTTAAACTATGTGTTAAAACAGAGCCTGCGGGTCCCTAGAGGTTTACAGCTTTTAATTAAATAACTGAGCATCAGCACCAGTTGTTCTTATTATCATTCCACCTACATTTTGATGTTTAACTTTCCCTCAGCTTTGAACCCCCCTTTGCCTTTGTTTTACTGGGAGGACATCTTGGAGAAAATGAAGCCTTTCTTTATCATAGACACGTCATTCAAAGTTTAAATGACTAACAGGTGTTACAGGAAGTGTGCTAGACTTTTTAAAACTCATCAGGGACTGTAAGTGATGCCAGTTTTTATGGCTTTTCAAAATAAAATCTCATAAATATCAGAATAACCCTTCAATAAATGGTAGCAATCATGGAGAGACTCGGTGGTAGACACACACATTTACTTTGTTTCACCTTGAATCATTGTATCATTGACTTTCATATAAAAGCTCAAAAATATTTAAGCTGCTTTTTAAGGTTTATAAACACTTTCATTTTGAAGTCTATGTCTAAGCTTCTTTCGGCTCACCTGCAAGGTGACCTGGCGGTCATTATGTTTTGCTGGTGGAGTTTCTCACCCTGAGCATAGTCTCTCAGGGATTGGTTTTATCGAGGAGCGGCAGCTTAGTTGAAATCAGATGAGCTATCAGCTGCATCTGACCAAGTGTCTGACATGCCTGGGGACTGAACCCCCAGGACAGACTGCAGGTGTAAACCTGGTTCAGCAACTGCTTTTATACTTGATCTGGTGTTGGAATCGCCTGCTCTGGCTGATCGATGAGCCAGAGCAGTGTTTGAAAGTATTTTAATCACAAACTTTAGAGTATTAAACATTTAGCGTCATGCTAACCTAGGAGCCAATCAAACAGCTTGTTATTGTGGTTCTGTTTGACCTGTGTCCATATTTTAAATTGGCACATTATGTGTCTGGTGCTCTAGGTCAAAGATGAAGCTGCTGGCTCTCAGGAGTGGAGCTGTAATGTGTGAGGCTGTAGAAGTTTAACCTGCAGGCAAAAACATCTTGAACTTTATTTTTGAACATCTGAAGCTGGGGCAGCACGCTGCATGCATCAGAGTTTAAGGAGGTGGATAATGGAAAAGTTGATTGATGGATGGGTGGGTAGATTTCAGAATCGCTAAGCATAAGATTTGCTCTGGTGGGGAGGGGGCGTGGTGGGCGTGGCTCAACTCCTCATGGGAAACCTTCAGGTGAACAGACTCTGAGTCTTGGTCACACGGCCGTGGTTTTCAGTCTGCTGTAAACTGTTTTCTGAGCAGATAAAACATCTTCAGTAGCTGCTGCAGTCGGACCAGTTTCACATTAACCTTTGAAAGACGCTGCCGCCGGCTGGTCTCACAGCGAGGAGCACGGTGAAGCGGCTGCTAGAGGTGAAGCTGGTACCTGAGTACAGGTGATAAAAAAGCTGTTTAGAGTGAACAGGTGAGGTCAGCTCGCTTGTTTCTTTCTGTGTCTAAATGAGCCACTTCCTGTTTCGGGGCTCAGGCGTGTCAGTCAGCTCAGCTGCTTTGTCATCTCCCGAGCGATTTGTCATCCTTCAGGCTCTTAAACACATCCTCGAGATAATCTCAGAGAAATTAATTGTAAAAGTCCCCAGACAGGAAGTTAGAGTGACAGTGAGCTGAGGCGCTGAAGGCGGAGTGAATACAGAGCGGTGAGGTGGAGGTGCAGACGGCTGTTATAGAGGGCTGTTATGGAGGGCTGTTATGGAGGACTGAAGGTGGAGGTAGATGCAGTAAATCCGCTCCCACGCTGCGGTTTGGAGCTTCTGTTGGCGTGAAATGAGTCTGGCAGCGTGTCAGCGTGGCGGCAGATTTACTGATGGAGCACGCCTCGCTCAGAGCCGCTCCTTTTGATTGGCTACAAGTGAAGGAAGCAGAGGAGATTAAAGGTACCATTCCACTTCCTGTGTTTGTCCTGACCTGATTGGCTGTTGCAGCTGATGGACGAGCGTTGATGAGAGGTTGATGAGTTGCAGTGGGACAGTTTCTCAGAGGACCCGTGGTCACCGTGGTTGCAGATGGCACTTTAAACTGGTCCTCTCACTCTCTCTCACGCACACACACAGTGTCCTTGTCTCAATCAGCAGCCAGAGGAATCTTCAATAGGTGGAGGAGAGCCACCATGGACCTTGTTATTTAACCTTTGACCTCTGAATGTTTTGACCTCAATTGTTTTTGCCAGTGATGATGATTGGATTATTTAACTGCTTCACGGCGGGCCCTGACTGGACATTGGTCTGGAATATTCCATGATTTTCATTCATCTGTGCAGATCTTTATGGTGCTGGACGCCAACTTGCTGCTGCTAGAACCACCCGTTTGGAACAAAGCGCCACATTTCAGAGACATTTACGACTGACAGAACGTGCTCAGTTCATTCACACGCAGATCCTCCTGTTTCCGTTCTTCCCACAAAAACACCTGAACGTGTTTGTGCAGACCGCAGCTGTCTGAGGGACTGATGCAGCGATCGCGGCAAAATTAGCCGAGGTCTGAAAACTTGAGGTCAGACATGCCTGACAGAGAACCTGTCATAGGTAGCGTTCATCAGGACCAAACACATCAGTGGTGTGATTTACCTGGTGCTAATCAGAATCGTGATGAATTTCGGGATCTTAATAATCCCGTCTGCTTCATGAGTCTCATTGATAAATGATCGTGTAGGTCATGTGACCTGGCAGCTTTTAGGAACAAAGTGAGCTTGCCCTTGCTGCAGAGCGCAGATGCAGTCATGTGTTATTGAGGTGATCGCCATCTGTTGATGTCCATCAGCTCCTCCTAATGTGACTTGAGTGCAGCAGCTTGAATATTTTACTGATGAACCAGAAGAACTTTAATATTTCACACAAGTTTCTCTGAATGTCCTTCACAAACTCAGACACTTTGCTCTATTTTCAGTTTTTAATACTCTTCATTTGTAGAACACCAAATCAAAGGCATGTGTGATGGAAACGTCAAGTGACAGTGGACAGCTTCTTCTCCTCCTCCTCCTTTATCATGCTCCCTTCAGGGAAGGATGATCTGCCTCCATCTTCCCTCTCCAGCATCCTCTTCTGTCACACGGGCAAAGGCCTTTGTGACAGAAGAGGTTTGTTTGGGTGTGATCAAAAACTGATGGTCGTCAGTGCGTATTGGTTATGGGTCAACATGTTGATATTGTGTTAGTCCCAGAGGAGCTGACATACAGTATGCAATCAGGTGGTGGAGGTGAAGTCCTGGTCTGTCAATGAGGCTGTGTGTAAAAGTTTAAGCTAACTTCAGGCAGGCACATCTGATGAGGTTGATGTAATGAATGTTTGATGGTCAGGTCAGGCCCACTCGTCTCTTCTTGTTCTGTTCTGGTGCTCGAGAGAGGTTCTGTCAGTGTGCTGGATGAGGAAACACTGCAGGACAATTAAGGTTTTATCAGCCGCAGGAGCTGCTGAGAGCAGACCAACGAACATCAGTAGATAAGACCTGAGCACGTGCAGGAAACCGAGTGCCGTGTACCACAGAAAATCGTTTTGAGGTCAGTAAACACAACCAGAATTCATACAAGGGCACACGGGATTATAAGGGGCACTGGCGATTTTCAGAAAAATCAAAGGATTGATTTCAAGTGTGCCATATTTTCCAAAAAACACGGTAATAACGACGGCCCGCTTGCATGCTCTACCAAAAATAGTACTTTGTTGTTTATCTGACGGACAAAAGCTAAACCAGTGGTGTGGAACGTTCCACACCACTGAAGTTGCAGCATTTCTACAAACCAATTCTGGTTCATCTGTTTCATTCAACGATCCACTTTCGCCCTTCTCATTCTCCGTTGCCGACACATTTTTTCCGCCATGTGCGTATGAAAACAAAGGCACTGCGCATGGGCGTTTTACCCATATTCTATCCCGATATTTCATTTTCTTATCGTTGCCTGACATTATACCGGTATTACCGTGAACGGTATGATATGGCCCAGCCCTAGTTGTTACCTTATGTCTGCCGCTAGGGGTCACCTTTTTGGTTTTATGGTATGGTGTGTTTATGTGAATGTATTTAAGGTAGATACACATAATTAGCTCCAGGTGTTGTTATTCGGAAGGAGCAAACAGATTGTGACGCTGTTATGATAAATGATGTTAGATAAAGAGAACTGTGGAACAACAAATACAACTGCTGGAAGTGGAATAACAGCGGCATCGCGTCACTCCCGCCAACGAAAACCTCAGTGGCTTCAAGTGTAGGCTTAGTGTAGGTTACAAAACAAGTAAGCAAAAAACCCTAATTTTGTTTCACCTAAGTGACTTTTTAATCTGCAGGCTGTCATCATTTGCATGTTTCAGGTCGGTACAGTTTCAGCCTGGTTACATGACATCACTGACTTGCTTCCTGTTTCATCTAAGAGACTGATATGTTCTTGAAAGCCAAGATGACAGGAAGTGATGTAAACATGGCTTCAATGTTATTCAAAAACAAACAGCTTTATTTAAACAACACCGTGGAGCTATCACAAAAGAAGAAGAAACAGTTTTGACCTTCAGGAGCTCCCTACATCATCTTTATCACCCCAGCAGGGCGGAGCCTATCCCAGCTGCCATGGGGCAAGAGGCGGCATTCACCCTGGACATGTCGCCATTTACACCCGTGAATCACCGAGGAAACTCACGTGCACTCATCACCTTAGGGGTCATTGTCATTCAGCTAATGTCTCTGGTCAGTTGGCCCCTGATTAGCCGGTTCCTGTTCATACCTATGACCTAATGGTTAATGAGCTGATGATGTCATGAGTGATGTGGGGTTAGCAGAGGATCCATGCGTGTTGTAGAATTTACACAGGAAGCAAAATTTCTTCTGTAGTGATTATGTCTCTCCATCCACAAACGACACTTCCTGAGCACCACGACATCACTTCCTGTTTGTGTGTTTAGGGCCAGTGACAAACGCCATCATCACGCCAGCTCCCGCTAACATGTTCCTGCCTGACAGTCGGCCTGCCGTCCCTCTGCCACGCTTCAGCCGACACCTGCATGCCTCTGAGAGCGACGGCGGTGAGCCGGGGGAGGTGTGTGTCCGCCTCAGGCTCCACACACAGGTGAGTGCTGCCTTTCTTCCTAGTGTCTTCCATATTTGCGCTTCCTGTTTACAGAAGTAAAAACCAAATGAATGTCTGAGCAGTTTATTTTCATAGATGGGAGCCACAACAACAAGAAATTCCGACATGACAGGGTAGAAATGAAAACACACACACACACACAGGTGAACGAAGGAGCTGTGCAGGTGAAGGCTGAACATAAAGATGGAAAGATCAAACACAATTCAAGGAAACGTTTAAATAAAACATGAAGCTGCAGCTCAACCACATCGATCCCTCTGAAGGAGGAAGGTGACATAGACATGCACAAATGCATACACAATGAGAGGGAAACTTTCATAAGCATCCTCAGAACAGTTTATGCTAATAAGACAGAATCTAATACAGGCTGAGACACGCACACACACACTCTGCTGTAATGACAATGGGTTTGAAAAATGCGTGTGTTTGCTGGCGTCTCAGTGGGTAAGCAATAATATCAATATTTACAGCTTTGATTGCCTGACGGGTCACAGTGCTCTGTCACCAGCGTGCCTGCTAACATTGTCAGTCCTGTTTGGAGTGTTTAACATCGTTTAATTGATCAGTTCTCAAGACATACATTTTTAGATGTCTTCATCACCACATTCACACAGCAGTGCTAAATTTTATTGCTAAATTATTTTTGTAATTATGGTGGAAGATTTCAGTTTTATTTTGAAGTAACAATCTGCACATCTCACCTAAAGCTGATACATCGCAGGTTTTACATTGAAGAGGTTTTTCTGTTTGTTTACAGGAGGAGGAGGAAACGTACCTGCAGAAAGCTGACACGCTGAACTCGCTGATGAACGCCGTGACTGAAAAGGTGAGAGGGGCCGAGGTTTCGTCGAGTGTTGGTTTGCATTCTGACAATCCCACAGTTTAACTGGCCAAGGGTCAGAGACAAACTGACTGTGAGCCTGACATTCCTGTCAGTCTTATTGATTATTGATAGCAATGGTGGTCAGAGATGGTGTGAAGCTGGCAGCTCTATTGGTCAGCCCTGTGTGTGTCTGGAGTGTGGGGTCAAAGTTCAGACTCTGAGACTGCCTCAGTTCAATTCAGTTTTATTTATACAGCGCCAAATCACAACAACAGTCACCTCAAGGTAGTGATCGGCGATATGAGGAAAATCTAATTTGCATGATATATATATCATGATATATATCATGATATGTTTAAATAACCTACAAAAACAAATGTTATTATCAACCATTTAGTGCCTAACACTGCATCGGTACACTCATTCAAATCGACAATTCAGTGATTTTCATTCATATTTTTTGTATTAAAATTTTTATTTAACTATGTTTTTTTACCATCCGTTGTACACAGAGGTTTTTAACAAATGACAATCCTGGGACAGTTAAGTCTCTTTCGGTGGTCAACACTAGACCTCTTAACAAACAAACGCAAGATCACAGCAACAAAAACATCAAACAAGAATTCACAAGTAAAAATAAAACAAACTTTTGTGCTTATAACATTTAAAATTTGTAAAATAAAAAATATAATGATCAACAGAAACAAAAGTCTAGACAGTCAGTATAAAAACGACTGACCAAGAGCAATTACAGGTATCAAAGCTGGTTTTCTTCACGTTCACATGCAGAGTTTAAAACATTTTGGACGACACTGGGTTTTGTAGTGTTTTTCATGCTGATTTCAAATCTGTGTTTAGTTTTTCCCTAGCACGTACAGTTTTTGTGATAATGCTAGTTATATTGCATAATAGTTGGTATAATTAGCCTAAACATGTAACCAGATTTAACAACAGTTCCCTGTGTTTT